CACGCTTTCCTGAGATTCTTTCGTCCTCATTGTCCTGCATGATGATGGGTTGGCAACCTTCACAGGAAAGTGGCAGATCATTCTCTCATCATGCTTTGGGGCACTAAACTGGTGTTTGGATACCTCCTGGTATATGAGGTGGGAGGTAAAATTCTCCTTCCAGATACAGACTGCTACTATCAGGTTCAGGCTGGAGCTTCATGGGCCCAGCATCAGGGAATTCAGTCACAGAACTGTCACTTGAAGCCCAGGATTTGTCCCACGTTTTGGTCCATGTAGTCAATAAACAGAAAAAAAAATCAAGGTTTGGCTGAGGGACACACAAATCTTTCATGAGGGGAGCTCCAAGACAGACACCAGACCTTCCTGCCACGGTGTTTGAGTGACTGAGTCCATCCTGTGGCAGAGTGCAGCTGAGGGCAGCCACCAGAGGAAAGGCAAGGTGAGATTTTGCTCCACGCATCCCCATCTCAATGCACAACACTGTAGATTTGCTTTTGGTAGACAACAAAGACAGCAAAGAGAAGAAAAAAGGAAGAGGAGGAGGAGACAGAGGGGGAGTGGGATCAGAGGTTAAAGGGCACCCAGAGCCTCGTACAGAACGTTTTGCTTTTGATCTTGTCCTTGATCATGAAGGTCCATCCCACTTTTGCACAGTCACAGGTCATATTATGGCTTGTTTTCTCAACAAAAAGAAATACAGCACCAGAAGCTGGCAGATACTGGTTCTCACGCACAAACCTGAGCAAGGGTCACATTTTCAAAGAGGCCAGTGTCTATTCTGTCTTCAGCCAAGGACACAAGAGAGCCTAGAAGGTCTGGGGTTTGTCTGCAGCTCTGCTTTCTGTGCGAATGTAGATGAGCAGTTGAGGATCCAGCTCCTTCCACCGTGCCCCAGGCCAGAAAGTATTTTAAGCACATTGGACAAAAAAGGAGAGATCTCAAGGAACCAGTTTTTCTACAAGGCTTCTGAAAGTTTATGCTGGGAAGAAGAGAACAGAGTGAGGAATAAAAAAGATCCTGTAAGTGTATCCATTCAGAGTAAGAATCCATCTGTGGGTTCACATCCTATTAAATACTGGAGAAACACACACCCGAGACCTCTTAAAAGGCATTGGCCATCAAAGAGCTTTTAATCAGCACCAGTCAATCAACATCAAGACACAAACTCATGTGAAATCAGGCATCCTAGCTGCAATGCTCACAGGGCTTTTCCCTCTCCTTTCTTTTGCACAAGGTACAAGGAATAAAGTTTGTTTCCAAACTGTACCGATTTGAAGCGAGCAGCTGCTCACCACGGAAAGACGCAGAGCTAATTACCAAGCTCACCTAACGACCTCCTTGTGAGGCTTGCAGGGTGATTTGGGGTGGGATGGTCCAGCCTGAATCCCTGCTCCAAGCGAGGTCAGCTGTGAATCCACACCAGCCTCCTCAGGGCTTGGTCCAGCTGAGCCACAGGAGCCTCCGAGGATGGAGAGTGTGCAGCCTCTCCGGGCAGAGCTTCTCCTGCAGATCCCTAAATTGTGATGTCAGGGGCAAGAAGGATCACAGAAATGTCACAAAGAGCACCAGCTGATCTCCCTCTTGGGGTTCCCATCTTTTCCACACCTCCAGGAGGACAACAGTTCTGGCAAAATCCAGAGTGAAACCCACATTAACTAAAAAACACCTCTGCAAAACCAAGCTCTCCAGGGAAAGCACAGAGCACAACCTCTTCCCCTGCAGCTGCATTAGGAAAAATCCACCCATTGCCTGCCCACGGTGATCTCAAGCCCTAAATTTAAACTAGGAAATCAGCTGTCACTGGGAAAGTAACCTGGGTATTTTCAGCCACCGAAGAGGAGGATTCCTGGCATAGCCTGGGGCTGCTCCGTGGCAATTGCAGCGCTCAGCTGCCTTTTGTGGGAATAAAGCTCGGGACTGGCCCCGGGGAGGAGGGGAGCACAGGCAGGTTCAGCTCGTGTGAGGTGTGATGGGTGCAGGTCCCAGCTCATGTCGAGGCCAGGTGCACATCCCAGGACACAGCCAGGCCCTGGGAAGTCTTTGGCAAAGCCCAAGTGTACCTGAGCAGTATTTATTAGGCCCAGAAAGAGTTAGTCCCTGACTAATGCTGGTAAAAGCAGGATGAATCCATAAATGTAGGTGTGTGAGGTTACAGCCCAACATAGGTGGGGGTTGTTCTCAGCCCAGCTCAGGTATTTTTACATAATATTCCCTACCTTACAGATGTATTTACATTCTCATCCCCTGCTTTCCTGCATGACCAGAGCTCATTTCCAGCGACTCAATGCACACCTTCTGCAGTAGGCCACAGACAGCAGGAATTGGGCAGCTTAGATCCTGACCCAGCACAGAAAAGGCTGTGACCACACTGGTATTGTACCCCTGGCTGTCTCAAAGCACTTTCTCAAACTAATGGTGAGGTTCAGCTCTGCCCCAACATGGGAGCAAGCCCAGGTGCTAAAATTTTGACAGGATCAGAAAAAGAAAGTGGTTTGCTACAAGCAGCAACTTCTTCCTGCAAGGACACAACACATAACTGTCCTGGTGGGAAAGAACCAGTGCTCATCTTCACTCCTATTTTATTCATGGCCTCATTTCCCTCTGTCAGAATGAACACCAGTGAAGACCCATCCATGGGATTATTCTTGTATCAATGAACAGGAAAGAGCCCAGGATGACTCTTAATTTCTAGACCAAGATTTGGGGATTGATGCTCAAAATACCTGCTTACTTATCTGTGACCTGAGTCTGTGACACCTGGGACATCTTCCTTAGACTTTTTTGCCAATTCCTGAGCTGCCACTGTCAGAGCACAGGTGAGACCCTAGCAGGGTAACAAGCACAACCCTGATGCATGTCTTTGTATCATCTCCCCCTGGCTGTAACTCTTCAAACTCAAAAATGTGGCTCTGGTGACAGCACCTTCAGCACAAGGCACCTGGATCAGCATTTTGCACTTCTCTAGGCTGTGTGGCAAGACCCTTCTTCCTGCCTCAGCAATACATAAGAGAATGATTGTCAACCCCATCTCTGTGTCCAGCATCTCCCAGCTCCTCTCTCCCTCATTCCCTGGGCTGGTGGAGATTCTCCCTCTGTGGAATAAGAATTGAGATGCTCCAGGGAAGGAGGCTCAATACTGAAATCAGAACCACAGAATCGTAGAAAAATTTGGGTTGGAAGGGACTTCAATGTCCATGATGTCCATGATGATCCAATTCCATGAGCAGGGACACCTTCCACTGTCCCAGGCTGCTCCAAGCCCTGTCCAGCCTGGCCTTGGACACTGCCAGAGATCCAGGGGCAGCCACAGCTGCTCTGGGCACCCTGTGCCAGGGCCTGCCCACCCTCCCAGCCAGCAATTCCTTCCCAAGATCCCATCCAGCCCTGCCCTCTGGCACTGGAAGCCATTGCCTGTGTGCTGTCCCTGCCTGCCTTGTCCCCAGTCCCTCTGCAGCTCTCCTGGAGCCCCTTCAGGCCCTGGCAGGGGCTCTGAGCTCTCCCTGGAGCCTTCTCTTGTGCAGCTGAGCAGCCCCAGCTCTCCCAGCTTTTAAAACGCAAATTCCACTTCTCCACTTTCCCTCTGAGACATTTTCCTTCCCTCCCACTTGCCCATCAGTGCCTCTGTCACCTCCAAGAGCTCCTACTCCAGAATGCCACAAGCCCATTTATTTGGCTTCTTGCTCTTAGGTGGAACTCAACAATCTGTGACTGCTGGTAACCAGAGCTCAGTTTTCCTTTACTGTCCCTCCCAAGGTAAAATCAGATTTCTTAGTAATGACTTTATCACAGTCCCAAATTCAAAAAGCCCCATCCAAAGCCTCCCAGGTCTCCCCTTCTCCCCATCCCTATGCCCCACAGTCCTGGAGGCAGAGGAAGCCAAACTGCACAGACAAGCCCTGGCTTGGCAGCAATGCCAAGAAACTTTGAGATTTCCTGCTGGAGCACCTATGGAAAATGAGCAGCTTATTTTTGTCTCCGTGTGTTCCCATTTATTCACTCTGAACACTCCCCAGTGTTTCCTGTCTCGGCAGAAGCTACGTTTGCTGTATCCAAAAACCTCTCAAAAAAGCCACGAGGCAGTCATATCCCATCAGGGTAGCTGCCCCTGGATGTTTTATGGGATCACGGCATCAAGCAGGTTATATTTGTATTGTTTTCAAAAACAAAATATAAATAAAACCAAAAATAATCCTCCCCACTCTCAAAAATGGGTTTTCAAGGACAATATTTTTTAAAAAATCATTTAAAAGATTATTTAGATTATTGCAGAATTTCTTGAAGACCATTTATTTTGCTATCAACAGAAACAATCAGATTCCAGAGACTATTTAGAAAGTTTGCATTGAGTAAATGAATCCCAGAACACTCAAGAAGTCACGTCCACCTGCTATCAGAAGCCACACACCTTTGTAAGCACTCGGGTATATATATCATTAAATAAACCCCTAAACCTCCCCGTATTAAATGTAGCATTTATTAGAGCTACTAAGTGCTTTTTAAAATATCTTTTTACTTATTTAAGAACTTAAAGATATTTTGGGGGAAGGTGTAATCCATTTTGGAAAGTTTGTTCCATGTTTTTAAACCTGATGATAAAGTCACTGCTGTCATTTCCCTGAAGAGATGCAGAAAGTATTTTTATACTAAAATAGTTGTGGATGCAGCATCATGTCCATTCTTAACACATACAAAACATTAGAGCTGAATAATTTTTGCAGCCTCTTTCTATCACATCTTAATTATGTTTTCTTCCAATACAACAGAAATATTTTCTCTTGATTTCTTGAAACAAGGACAGTTCATGCATCATTTGGCAGCCCTGTGCAAGCAGCTTGTACTTGAATTTCCAGAAACACAGTGTGTTATTTACATTGCCAATTGCAACACATTTTTTTCTGTGTAAAAGCTCCCTTAGATTTCACCAATCTTTGCTTTTTTTTTTTTTTTTTTTTTTTTTTTTTTTTTTTTTTTTTTTTAATAAACAGACCCTGAAGGCAAGAAGAACACTGCAGAGAAGGAAAATAGCTCTGATACTGTTAGAGCTGGAGGCCAAACACAGATTCCACACTCTCTGCCGGCTTTGATAAATTTGCTGGGACTTCAAGGCAGAATTTCATGTTCCCCGGGAGAGTGTTGATGCACAAGATATATCTGTCTCTTAATGCACTGTTTTTCCAGGGGAATGTGTTGATTAGTCCTCAGATGGTCCTTCTTATTGCTTCAGGTCCTTCAGGATTATCCAAGGCTGGGAGGGAGAACTGCTGAGGGTTAAGGAACAGAAGGGGGGTTGAGCTGCAGTGATGGAACCACAGTGATGCTCCAAGACCAAAGCCACAGATCCCAAATTTCCACCTGCTCCCATTCACACAGCAACCCCAGAGCCTGTCAGTGCTCTCATTCCACCCCTTCCCAGCTGCTTTCCAGTGGGAGACACAGTTTTAGGGAGACATGAGCCCTGGGAACACTGGAGTCTGCAAACATCCATGACCATTTCATCATTTCTCTTTAAGCAAGCCAGGCGTTATTAAATGGGAAACACCACTTGAGCTGATATTCCACGTTCACAAGTTTTTAGAAACAAACAAAGAGTTCACAGTAAATCAACCTCACTGGGGAGAGAAAAAAAAAAAGGAAAAAATTGGCGTGTATAGTTGTAGAAATAAGACACAATACCAGAAAAAAACCCTCCAGAAAGCTCATTTTTAACTCTAGAATTTCACGTTTCCAAAAGGCACAGCTCGTCCCACACTCCCACCCCTGCAGAGGAGAGAAGCTGAAGGCATTTAGCAGACATTTGCATCTATATTCTGCAAGCAGCAGATGCAAAGGAAGAGATTCATTTCCCCTAACATAAGCCATCTAAAAATTAAATGCTGATAGTCATCTTGGATTCTTTTAAAACCCAGATTAAAATAGCTGCTGTGTGCAGGTCTGCCCTGCTCTCTCCCCAGAGATTACAGAAAGCACTCAAGTGCCAAAATTAAATAGGGGTCTGAAATTAAACCAAAGGTATCCCACCCTCAGCACAACTCCTGAATGCACGGCCTTGTATCCAAAGCACACTGGAATCCCTGGAAAAATCACGGCTGTAATCCTGGAAGGGTGTTTGAGTCCTGTGCTGCTGCTCAGGGATTTGGGGAGGTCAGGCTGACCTGAGGTGCTGTGCCAGCCCCCCAGCACCCAGCACCCTTCAGGACAGCACAGCAATGTCCCTTTGCCTGGCCTCAAATGGAAAGGCAGGAGTGGAAGCAAAGAAGGTGCTTGTGCCCCCACCCTCCCTGCTGGGATGGATTGCTTGGGATGTTTTTACTGTCAGATATGCTGAGCCCTACCAGAGCAGCACCACTCTGAAAGCATTGGAACGAGCATCTCTGGGGTGCAAAGGCAGGAACTGCAGTAAAATCCTCAAAAAGGGGTCTAACAGGCTGAAGAAAAATTAAATAAAAAGGATTTAAACATGTCTGTGGCCTCTATTTTTCATTGTGCTGCGCCAACCGTGCCAGCAGGGTAAAGTGTGTGCATGCCCAGGACCAGAGGGGAACAGAGCCTGACCACACCAGCTCCTCTTCCTCCTCCTCCCCACACGACCCCCAAGCTCTCAGCTGGGTGCCCGAGGCCAGGGCTGTCCCAGGGATATCCCAGGGATATCCCAGGGCTGTCCCAGGGCTGTCCCAGGGATGTCCCAGGAGCAGCACCCAAGCCGTGGTGTGGCACAGTGGGCACACACCAGGAGCTCCATGGAGTGGAACAGCAGCAAGGGCTCCCCAAAAGGCACCACCGGGAGACTCTCAGGCATCCAGAGCAGGGCAGGGAGAAGCCCTGGAAAGGAGCCCCCACTTTTGTTGCTGGAGTCTTGCACTGCAATCCCAACACAAGGCTCATGATCGAGAGCACCCAGCTGTCAGGAGGTGCGTGGGGAGCAGAGGGGGAGCAGAGAGGGGACCAAGCTCATCTGCTTCTGTTCTTCCTATTATTTTCTACTTTTTAAAATTTAATTTAATTTTTTCATGTCAGATGCTGGTTTTCCACGCACGCTGCCAGCTCCACACAAGCTTTTTTTTTTTTTTTTTTTTTTTTTGACACGTTCCTTTGAGAAACAAAGGTTCGACGCAAAACGCTGCCCCTGATGAAATGTGGAAAGCGCCCGGGCCTGGCTGCTGGTGAGTGCTGCTATTCATCTGACTAAGCAGCATTTGACATTTGGGCTTGGTGGGTCTCAAGTTTCCCTCTAGTAAGATATGGGCTGACTCCGCCGCAGCCAATCTCGGTCGGAGGCTGCGGATGGTGCCGGAGGGAGGGAGGGAAGGAGGGAGGGAGGGAGGCATGAGCACATCCCAGCACCCACGGGCTGCGAGCCTGACCTCAGCTGCACCGGAGCCGTGGCACCGCTGCCCGGCCCTCCTGGACCCGCTGGAGATGCTGCAAATTCATCTCTTACTTTTATTCTTTTTAATTTATTAAAAACAAATATTTTTTTTTACATTTCTTAACGACTTAGACTCGCTTTTGCTTCTCTCCCCGCCACCCCAGTTGCCAGTTTTGCGTTTGCTGCAGCACGCGTGGTTTATATCTCCTGCTGTAATCGGAGGCAGGTGGAAGCTGTTTTACAAGAGCAGCGTCGAGTTTCCCAACCCAGGTTTGAGCTTGGTGCAATGCAACCAGCAGCATAAAGGGAAATCCTCACTGTCAGCCAGTGTTTCAGAATAAATCCAGTCAAGTTGAAATCACACCAAAAGCGCTGGCTGCGTGTTGCAAGGAGGCTGTGAGCTGAATCCACAACTCAGACATGCCTTCCTACATGGAGAGAGCCCAAGCCAGACAACAATACCACAGTGCGCTCTTCTGAGAGGTGTAATCCACAAAAAATCCCACTCTGGGTGGATGTGTCACTGCCCAAGCGCAGCAAGCCAGCTGGAAAGAGCTGACATGTTGGCCTTTGATGAGTAAAGCATTAAGTACGTTTTGGTAGAGACACTTTGTGGTACTGGAAAGATCTGTAACATCCTTTAATCTTTACATTTCTCTTTGTCTTTTGTCCTCCTCCCCACCCCAAGATTTTGCTTTAACTACAAGCAAGGACAAAAAGAGGGGAGCTGCAGCATAAATGACATGAATACTAAAATAAGTGTAATTTGTAAGTAAGGGTTCTTTAAGTACTACCACTCCCTCTTGTAAGTACTAAACTCCTTGTCTACAAAATTTAAAACAGGCTTGTACAACACAGTACTTCAATGAGTAAAAATCCCTTATCGTCTTATTTTGCATCAGACCTCCCAGTGCTGTTACTTGCAACATTGCCACAGAGTCTCTCAGCTCCTAACAGCACTGTCCCTGAAGACCCACTTGTCACTCTCATTTCCACTTGTTGAGCCTTTCTATTAGTGGAAATGAAATTTGCAGAATTCATTGCATAACTTGTTCAAAAGGAGTTAGGAACAAACGTAAACACATCTCGTGGATGACAATAAGCCTCTGTGAACCCTAAAATCCCAACAGGCATTTACTCACTCCAAAAGCTATCTAAGGACCTGACCCCAGTCTCACTGAGTGCAGAAAAAAACACCTAACTCCAGACCACAAGTGCTGCAGAACACTATAAAGCCATGGCTTATACAATTTATTTGCCAGGTATCCCCATCCCTTGCCTTCAGGAGATGGATGGCCTCACCCAAGGATGGGTTTCCGCCTAGTCCCTGGCTGCCCAAGAACTCAGGCAAAGCTCAGTCTGACTTTGAGCCATCTCTTTGCTGGGGGTTGGAGCCCTCCTAAGCAGGGTCTCATCATGTCAGTGATCAGCCACCTGGTGTGGCTGCAGGCATGCACAGGTCTCATGTGTGCAGTCCATGCAAGATGTGGCATGTTCCTCAGCTCAAAGTACACCCAAGATACTCATCTGCTCTGCAAATACAGCTGGGCCTTTTTGGAGGCAGCCTGGAGAGTGCTCATGTGGACAGACTTGGGTATGAACAGCCTCGCCTCAGCTGCCTGCATGAACAACCCTGCCAGAACAGCTACACAGGAAATTCGGGGCATTTGAGGGATAAAACGGAGGTGTCACCTCTCCCAGGTGACCCCAGAGAACCTCTGCAGCTGTGGCAGCAGTACAGTGCACTCCTGCTGCCCTGCTTGGGCGAGGGCAGCATCCCCAGGGCACCGAGCCTGGAGGAACACGCTCCACCCCATCCCTCCAGCCTGCAGAGCTCGGATGAGGCAAGCAGAAGAGCTGTGGGAGGAACAGAGCAGGTAGAACCAGTGCTCCCCACCTGCCAGCGAGCCTGCTGCTGAGCAAGACCAGGGGCACTGTCCAAAACAAACAGCAGGAGAAACCTCTTCTCCAAGGAACAGCTTGTCCACGCTGTTGAAACCTCGAGGGCATTGCAGCCCTGTCCCAGCAGGCATCTCTGCTGTGCACACTCAAGGGCTTGAAGCACACCCGGAACACGGAATGAAGAGGTCAAACCCTGGAGAAGGGCCTGCCTTATGCCACAGGCTGATCCCAAGCTCCACTTTTGCTCTGGATGTCTTTAGTCCGCACTCACGGGGAGGAGGGGCTGACACAAATACAGCTCTGAGCACTGGCAGTGATGTAACTGCGTCTCAGGAGAAAAGGAACGCAGGTTTTTCTCTCCCTGTTCCTCAGGAAGGGCACAAGCCTCACTACCAATGGTTTCTTGTCTGTGCCACAGGAAGATGAACAGGCTGAACCCTGTCCCACGAGGAAGCAGTAGGCTGGAAGGGGTTTATTCCAGCAGTGCAACCACCATCTCTGACACCTCCCTGGAGGGCAGGAAGAACAGGGTGTTCAGTTTGAACTGCCCTTTAAAATGACATCTAATTCTCCTTATTCTAGCACCAAGCTGCACAGCTACCACGTAACCTTAGGGTTGAGACTGGAGGAATCCTACAACACTCAGCAGCTACATTCACTCAGGTGCATAATTGTGCAATTGTGGTTGCTAAAACTCCTATCATTCAGGCATCAAGACCTGAAACGGGAGGAGAGAGACCTCTTTTACTTCTCAGCACATGGTGAGCTTGGAGAACACCACCAACCTGCAGTGATGCCTCAGCTCACACAACATGACCACCAAGCTATCAGCACTGCGCACACACCTGCACCAGGCAGCTGTGTAAGTCACATAAAACATTTTCAGAAATACAGTTGCCATCACTAGGATGTTATAATCCCTGCGAAGCGTCCTTCAGTTTCATATCTCAATCTCTCATGCCTGAAAGGGGCACAGGCAGCTCCAGTTTCAAGTTTCCTAGCAGATTAACAAAAACCCTGACGAACTTCAGCATATTTCTGTTGGTTGATGTCCTAAAGGATTTTATTTATACTAAATCCATGCTTTAAACAGCTGATAGTCACTTCAAAACATGTCAAACTAAACCCTGTTCTGGCCTCAAAGGAGCTCACAAATAATAAATTCATGTAATAAATAACACTTTCCCTGGGACAAACAACAGACTGTAAAATGCACTTGCGTTCAGCAACTGCTGCGAACATCATTTCCTAATCGGGCCCTGTGGATGCAGCACACACCAACTTAACCTTATCTCCTCTCACCTGGGACTCAGACTCTGTGCTCACACAGCACTTGTGCTCCTCCAGAAGCACTGTGGTGCTCAGGTACCAGGTTTTTCAGAGATGAATCAAACACAGAATGGTGAAAAGCTACAGAAAGCTACACACGACCCCAAACCTGCCCGGCACAGCAACAGCCTCATCCCCATCCCCATTCCTGGGGGATGAGGAGCCTGGGCACTGAACACCCCTTTTGGCAGCCTGAAACCCTCTGTCAGATGCAGATGAGGAGCTGCTTCAGCTGTGGATGCTGCAGGTGACTGGTTGGAATGTCAGGGGTTGGGTCACACCACGGAGCTGCCCACCTGCAGCAGGAGAGCTCAGCTGCTCAGAGGCACTTTGGGAAAGGGCCACGAACCCTGGCTGGTGCTGGAATAAGTGCAGGGGTTGGGGTGGAACAAGATCAAGGCCACAACCTTGAAAGTAGGGGTTTGGCTCATTGTCTACAGCCTGCCAGATTCGGACACCCACTGCATGGTGTGCTACAGCTTTGTACCAGGCATTTGGTACATCCCTGAAACCCCATCCCTGGAAACATCCAGGGTTGGGCTAAATGGGGCTCTGACCAACCTGGTCTAGTGGAAGGTGCCCCAACCCATTGCAGGGGGTTAGACGAGGTGTCCTTCAAAAGTCCCTGACAACCCAAACCATTCTGTGATTCCATGGTCTATTCCAGCACTATCAGTGGTAAATAATGGCTTGATGAGGGAGTCCTCTCACAAGGGAGGCATCTCAGAATTTTAATGTCCTTCATTCCACAGAAAAGTAGTTTTTTAAAGTTCAGATTTTACCCATCTTAATATCTCTGTTCCCAGATTCTCTCCAGGGGTTGAGGCAAAAAACAACCTACTGCCTTGAGTTCAAACTTTGTAAGGGGAGTGTGTTCAGGAGAGCATGGGGAGGTGGGATAGTGGGGAGGGTGGGAACTGAGTGCCTGTGCTGCACTCTGCAGTTTTGCACGTCAATTCCAAATATCTCTTGTACAGTACATCCCTCAGGCCCACGGATGAGAGACAACAACGTGGTCTCGTGGAAGGTGGAACAAAGTGGGCTTAAAGGCCCCTTCCAACCCCACACATTCCCTGATTCTATGACAGGGGACCACCTGCAGTGCCAAACCAAATCAGAGAATCTCCTGATACACAAAAGTCTGGCTCCTGCTCTCTCTGAGACATAGGGATGACAGTGAGTTCACTGCACCTTCAGCAGTCTCACAGAGAGGCCCATTCCATCAGTGGCACCCCTGTCACCCTGTCTGCCTCCAAACCTTGTGCCAAATAACTGCACCAGTGCCCGAACCACACTGAGAAGGGCAGGGAAGGAAAGGTACAAAGAAAGGAAAAAGAGAACATCTCTATATGGTTAGAGCCCCACTGCTTATCCTCCACCACACGTGGAGGGATGGCAGTCACTGACACTCCCCCTTCCTACCCAGGGGAGTCACAGTGAAATCATCCTCCTCCAGTGATTTAGGCTGGAATTACACAGGTGGTAGCAACATACCGCAAATTCCTCGGGTTTGGTTGGGTTCTCAAGTCATTCTCAAGGAATCTATTTTTAGGCCTGCAACTGCATTTTTCCATGGCACTCCGTGACCCTTCCTCCCACCCCAGTGGTGGGCAGAGCAGGAAAAGGCTGAGGACAGAGACCAGCCCTCAAGGAAACAAGACCTGAGCCAGGGGCACACCTGCTTTGCAGTACAAGAGTCACGGGTCTCCACTGCGGTGTCTGGAAGCTGTTCTGACAGAAAACAGCAGCACAGAGCCCTGGAGCACACACCTCTGCACCAGGACTCGGGGCTCAAAGTCTCCAGGACAATATGCTACAGGTGGTGACAGAGGCAGGACACCCCTGGTGAAGGCACACAGCACTTGAACCCTCACCCTTCCTTTAGGAGCAGCATTAATGAATAAATACTGGTGTTTGTGTAGCTGCATCCAATACCCGACACAGAGAATTCTTGGTTTATATCCACACTTGCCCCTTCCCTCAACTTCAAACTACTCCATACTCAATATATACTCCATATCCTACTCCATACTCTGCCTACTCCGTATTCTACTTCCTTGCAATCTCTCCTGGGTCCTGTTTGCAGACTGACACTTGCCACTGTTAGAGAAATAGTCATAAATGTTCTACTTTTCACTCACCACAACCTCACGATGCTATTCTCCAAGTTAGTAGTATTTCCTACCATTCTAGCAACTGTAGATTTGCTGAATCTTACAGTTTCACAATTACTTTTAAGGCGATTCAGGAGTTTCTGGAATCTGGTGAATGTACTTTTTTTAAAAAGGGCACATCTTTAGTTTGTACAGGTGAGGAACTTCAGCCTGGTGAGTGCCAGAATAGGTTCCTGAAAATGAGTTTTTTCATGCTCAATCCAACAATTAATGTTCCAGTAAATACAACTTCTCAATGCTCTGCCATCTCGTCAGTTCTTCCATGTTAAAACCACGTTATCTTCTGCTTCGCAATCTAGATTTTGCAAATCCCTTTTCAAGACCGGAAAAATCTCTATTTATAAATAACCACAGCAGAGGGGAAAAACATTGTTGTGTAAAACACTTTTACAAGACAAACAGAAAGCCCAATGTTTTTTATTATATCGTGTATATTTGATTATATCATGTGCATCTCATACTAGAGCTAAATGTTTATAAAGAGGGATTAATTATTTTCCTCCTTGGCAACAGCTATAATAAATACACTGCTAGAGAAAATATGTGAAGTAGAAGACACGCACTCAACACTGAAGAAGCAAGTTTGGATATAGTGCAGTGAGGAACTCGCAGAAGAATCTAACAACATAAAAATTTTGAGCTTCCAGCTTGCTGTCAGTGCTCAAATCTCTCAAAGTAAAACTTGTGTGAGTCTTCTTTTGAGATGTGGTCAGATGGTGCCTACAAGCTCCATCAACTGATTAGTTAGTGACAGAATGAAAAACATTTCATAGGTTGACAGAGGTTATCAGGCAGCAGCACAGAAATGAGGGCACAAAGCCTTTCCCCTCCTGCTTCCTGCAACTCCAGAGTTCATATTTTGGCTCCTAGATGCTTATTTTGTTGGTTTGGGGTTTTTTTTGTTTTGTTTTGTTTTTTTGTTGTTTTTTGTTTGTTTCTTTCTTTGGGGTTTTTTCTTTGTTTGTTTTGTTTTGTTTTGTTTGTTTGTTTTTGTTTGTTTGGGGTTTTTGTTTGTTTGTTTGTGTCTTTTTTGGTTTTGGGTTTTTTTGTTTTTGTTTTTTGTGTGTTTTTTTTTGTTTGGGTTTTTTTGTTTTGTTTTGTTTTTTCGGTTTTTTGTTTGTTTGTTTGTTTGGGGTTTTTTTGGGGTGTTTTTTGCTATTCTAGGTCCCGTGCTGTTAATGCAGAGGACGTGGTGTGATGTCTGTGTTTGGGGCAGAAAGGAATTTGGTGTGCCTGGCTCTTGGTGTCCAGGCTGAGCATCACAACCTCTCCAGACTGGCAGGTTCACTCCCAGAGCTTGCTGCATTCAGCTTCTGTGCAACAGCTCCCTGTCTGATTTTCACAGAGATTAAAG